ATAGATCTATAAATATAAAACCATCAGATAAACTGTACAGTATGTGATAAGTATTGGCATCATAGATCTATATATTCAAAACCATCAGATAAACTGTACATTATACTATAATTACTGGCATCATAGATCTATAAATATAAAACCATCAGATAAACTGTACAGTATATGATAAGTATTGGCATCATAGATCTATAAATATAAAACCTTCAGATAAACTGTACATAATGATATAAGTGTTGGCATCATAGATCTATAAATTTAAAACCATCAGATAAACTGAACAGTATGCTATAAGTACTGGCACAGGAATGATAAATCTATAAATATAAAACCATCAGATAAACTGTACAGAATGTGATAAGTATTGGCATCTTAGATCTTTAAATATAAAACCCTCAGATAAACTGTACAGTATGTGATAAGTATTGGCATCTTAGATCTTTAAATATAAAACCATCAGATAAACTGTACAGTATGTGATAAGTATTGGCAGCATAGATCTAAAATAATATGATATATAATGTAGGTTATGGCATAATAAACCATCAGATAAACTGTAAAATATCGGTACATGATATATTAGCTACAGTCCAGGAGAAAAAATTAAATAACAGATGTTTAATAAATGATTATGAAAGACTGTAGTATAATAATGTTGACAAAGCTTTCAAGTCGTATTGATTACACAATTCTAAATAACTTTTTTCTTATATCAATTCTGTTATATATGGTAACATAAGTCAGTATCAAATCTATGTATTGTGTTATTAGAGCTAAAATGTTCATGTCCTTTACCCTAACCAATTCTATCCCTAAAGTATCTGTATGTCATAAAATTTAGTACCAATATTAAGCCAAGCATATAAATTTTCAGAATGTTTTAGAATCAAATAATTCATCAAGATTGCAGTGAATAATTTGAAAAAATGATAATAAACAGAGAATGTAAAGATCAATAAGTGAAATGTAGGTGTTGATTGATGACTAGTTAATCACATCGTTATCTCGTTAATTACCATAATTAAACAATAAACACCTAATATTATTAATCAATTGAACATATCTACATAATACTTGTATTGATTTCCAATCAGTAGAGATCAACTATTGATTTCTTTAAGACTCTTGATTCAAAGTTCACTTATACTCAACAAAATCTAAACTCATAAACAAAAGAGTTCAATAATTCAGAGTTTGTTCAAGTCAAAGGCTTTATCTATAGTTATTGCATGTCAAAATAAATTCCAGTACAAAACCTTGCAATGTCTTTTGTAAAAGAATTCAAACAATAACTGAGTTTGGATTTTAGTAACTTAATATTATATTTAAAAAAATTATTCAATGTCAAGTTTCAAGGTACAACATAGTGCTTGAGAATTAATAT